CAGAAGAGCTCACTACTCTGGTAGCACCATGGCCATTTGCTCAGTGGGGATTGGATCTTTTGGGCCCATTCGTGAAGGGGGTTGGTGGTGTAACCCACCTGATCGTTGGTGTAGATTACTTCACAAAGTAGGCTGAAGCTCGGCCGTTATCCAGTCTTACTTCCAAGAAGGTTGAAGACTTTGTTTTCAGCTCAATCATCTGCAGATATGGGATCCTGAATCAGATTGTGGCTTATAATGGAACGCAATTTAACTGCACCTCTTTTCGAGATTTCTGTTCCAGCTATGGGATTAAATTGCAGTTCACCTCAGTTTACCATCCGGAGTCCAACGGCATGGTCGAATCTGTTAACAAGTGCATCTTAGAAGGTATAAAGCCGAGGCTGGAACAACACAAGGCCAAGTGGGCAGACGAGCTCAACAACGTCCTCTGGGCATACAGAACTACGAGTCGAACTACTACAGGTATTACTCTACACCTGGCCTATTTGATTAAATTTATATTACTCTACTTCTTCTGCTACGATTTTACCGTAGAGCAAATATGCATAACGTGTAAAGCGCATTCTAAAGTTATAATCCACTGAGATAGGTGAAACACCATATCATCTGGCCTTTGGTACCGAAGCAGTCATTCCTATCGAGATAGGAGTTCCAAGTTTTAGAGTCACCCATTTCGATGAAGGACGGAATGGACAACTGCTTCGGGAGAACCTTGATCTGCTTGATGACCTCAGAGAAAAAGCACGACTTCGAACTCTAGTCTACAAGCAGAAAATAGCAAACTTCTACAATAAACGAGTTCGACCCCGATCATTCAAAGTAGGAGACCTTGTTCTCAGGAAAACTGGTCTAATGGGGTTCGAAACTCGATTCGGCAAATTAGCACCAAACTGGGAAGGCCTCTACACTGTCGCCAAAGTGCCGCACCCAGGTGCTTATATCCTACGGGACACTGAAGGCAAACGGGTTCCCAGAGTCTGGAATATCAATAACCTGAAGAAGTTTTACCCTTAAGTATACTTCAGATTGAAAGAACTTTGTTTTGATAATTCTTACTTTCACTCCTTCTGCTCAATTTAGAGTGTATTTTAACTCAATTCATTAATAAGTTTCACTTCACAACTGAAATAATTCAATTCTGTGTACTCTTCTATACGTTGGAAGTGAGTTTCATTTATTCTGACTCATTCAGCCACTTCATTTTAGGGTTATAATCCTATTAATCAGTTACACTTTATTTTTGAAGTGCTTTACTTCGACTTCGAGGTATATCTTATGGATATCCGAAGTCAATTACTTCGAGGTATATCTTATGGATATCCGAAGTGTTTATCCGAGCTCAGAACCTTGTGTTAATTCTAGTTAACTTATTTTACCCTAAAAAGTTCCTCAACGAAAAACATCAAATTAAAAATCGAACACCAGATAATAATAAAATTCAAAAATTTTATACATTAAACAATGTTATTTACATCAATAACGCAAAGAAAACCTAAACTACTCTGCTGGAAGAGGAGGCTGCTCCTCAGCAAGAGGAGGTGGGGACCTGGGTTCGTCTTCAGCAGGCTGAGGCGGCACTTCTACTTCAGGAGGGGCCAGCTGCTGCACCTCGTCAGAGGAGACTGGATGCACCTCAGGAGGCTGCACTTCGGCCCTTGCTGCTTGATCCCCAACTCCAGTGCCTTGCTCTTCTTCTTCTTCTTCTTCTCCCCCCACTGCCA